TCCTTGCACTTGCAAGACAGGCCACTTAACCACTGAGCTAAATCCCTGGCCATAAAGCAGAATTTTTAACATAATTTCTAATTGATGTGGAATGGTTTTCATTTGTTTTATTTTAACTTGGTTGTTTATTTCTTCAGTAAAGTAATAGGATTTTAAAATGTCAAAATAACAGACAGTAAATGGCCAGTGTTTATTTCTCAAAAGATTTGGCTTTCTAGCCTCTGAAATAGAACATGTAAGCCATATGCAAGGAAAGCTATAGAGTCAAGGATAAGATTAAACTTCTGCTTCTCAAAATCTTGCTGTTATTTAGCCTCCTATTCTGAGTATTTTCTTCAACTCTTTCCCATTCAAACAGCTAACCCCACAATTTTGCGTTTCCTCAAAATCTCTATTTTTACTTTTTGACCTTAAACACCTCATGCTTTCTCAGGTTTATATTCTTCATTTAATTTATAAGAATATAAAGTCTAAGAATTGTATGGATTTACAGAATTTTTATTATTGCCTATTTTTATACCTATCCAAGTTTCCAAATCATGAAGTTTTCTTAAATGATAGCAGACAGATAGCATGTTGGCATAGGTTATTTCAGCAAGCACTATATTTTATATACTTGTCAGTGTCAAGGTAGCATAAATACATAAACATGACATCAGAATTAAATAATAGAACCCAGGGAACACTGATGTACTTGTGACAGTCATCTTTAATAAAAATCATTCAAATTTATATGCATTCATTTACAACAAGGGGATCAATATAATGCTTTATACTGCTCTGTGGTTGCTATGAGCATATTTTCTAACTGCTCATAGTGTTTTGCCTGTGGCCCATGATCATCCAACATGATCACAATCTACCAGATGTATGACCCCTTGAAATGAGGGTAGTCACAATTTGAGATGCTTTGTAAGTATGAAGTAGACCAGTTTTGGAAAATAAAAGTTGTAAAAAGTCTAAGAATTTTATATTTCTTTCATTTTGAAATGATAATATTAACATATTGGATTAAATAAAGTATATTGGAATTTATTTTTAACTATTTAGGGAAGCTACTTTCAACTGCAAATGATGGTTGAAGTATGTTTCTACTAGACAATACAGCTGTAGAGTATAAAAAGTTTGATTTTTCATGGAGAATTTTACAGAAAATATGCTGTGATATTTTTAAGCATGCCTAGGGTGTTTTGGCAGCATCTCTGCACTATCTTATAGAAGTTTCTGGTATGTCCTTCTAATTAGGATGATCACTTGAAACACTATTTGCTTTAATATCTATGCTTTAAAATATATTCCACCAATAATGAAAATGCACACGAGAGCAGCTCCAGCTGTCAGGTAAATGTAGTGAGCAGGACATTTTTATTCCCTGTCATACGATCATATGATGCAGAAGAAGTGACACTGCACTACTCACATCAAAGCAAAGTAGACATCACTCAAAAAACTGAATGTGTCTCCTCTACATTCTTATTTAATATTGACAATTATCACTAAAATGTATTTAAAGCTGTTTGGACAATAAGGAAAAATGGTTGAACTTAAAAATATATGTGATTGTTAAAATATTGGCTGTATTATAAATCAAAGCAGAATAATATTGTTTCATTTTTCCTGAACATTATTGATAAATATAATTTTATTTCATTGGGAGCAAATGAATAAACACTAAAAATAATTGTGGACTTACAATTTGCTAAATATAAAAAAATCCATCTTAATCTCATCCCTGCCTAAAGATCTTTCACCAGCACAATTTTTAGGACCAATCAAAACATGATATAAATCAAGACAAGGAAAGTGGATAAGATCCTTGACATGATAATAGATTCTTGGCATGGGAATGAGTAACCAAATGTAACTAGTGAATTCAATTGTTACTTAACTGGTAAAGTACCAAAGGAGTTGAATGTCTTTTCCAAAACGAAAATTTAAGTTCCTTACCATACCAGTATTTCTTCCCATATTAAAGAGAAATACCACTCTTACTACCTCTTGCTATTTTCTAGGTAACTCTTTCTTTGACCCTATGTGGAGCTCCTATTTACTTCTTTGCAGTTCCTCATTTATTTCATACCTCCTCTCCTCCCTATTCTATACTCCATTATTAACAAATTTGCCTCAGGATGCATAGCATTTTGTCCGCCTTGTTTGCTTTCAAAACTCTAACTCTAATACCTGCACCTGAGCATCTGATCATAATTGAAGAAAATATGTCGTTTGATCTCACTTCGAATTCTTGATGTTGAACCTCAAAGGGACCCTAACTACTACTGCCAAGTCAATTCTATCCCATTTCTCACACAAATTCACTGCCCACTCTGCTAAGCTTCACACATTTTTATCTTTAAACTTATGTCTTCCTCATCTCTGCTGATAAACATATTTTGTCTTTTTCTATTTTTCTTAAAAAAAATAAGTGATCTGAAGACAATTGACTATCAGTCTCATAGATATCCATACAGCCTACCTTTTTAGATGGAGGTTTTGTCCATTCCTTACAGGCAAACTTCCAGTTTATATGGTGCATCTACTCTCCTCCAAGCTACTGGATGGAATGGCTACTACAAATATATTCTTTCCTCTCTAACTCATCAATGTATGCCTCTCTCTTACAGCATTCCCACTCTGTACTCATTGACATTTTCATTCATTAAAGTATTTCTTTTGTGACTAATAATTCAATAAAAATTAGTTCTGAAATTTCTCTGGGAAATCAAAAAGTATATTTTCTGAATAAAAAATTCAAAAAATGAAATAGTTAAAAGCATGTGTTGAATATGAGAAGAGTCAATTTAAATATAAAAGCCACTCCTTCTTTGCAGTATCAGTTTTTTCTCTCTAATGCCAAAGGAAATAATGGACCACCCGGAAGAAGCGTGATACATTTAGATTTACAGATTTATAGAATACTGGAATTGATCTTTAGAGTATTGTCTTACCACCTTCTCCCTGAATCTTATTACTCCTAGGACTATTGCAATCCATTCTCCTTAACCTCCATCAGATTCACATTTTTAAATACCATTACAGCATAGTCGAAATGGATCTGGAGCCAAAAAGCCTTGTTTGGAATTCTGGTTATAGAACTAATTGTATCTGTGGTTTTATGTAAATCATTTAACTGAAGGTGATGTGTCTTTGTGTTAAAATGAAGATAATGTGTAAACCAACTTCATTTTGATTCACATCTATCAAAATTGTGGCTATGTACATCAATTATTTTACAATCTTGTACATAAGAAATGCTATTTTGTGTTGGCAGAATGGTGAAACAAATGTTCCTTCTCTTTTCAGGAACTTACAGTTGCCCCCACTGTATGACATAAAATAGCAAAATTACTCTGTGGGTGAATTTTAAAATGTTCCCCAGTTTTTTTCCTTCTTTTGTCTATTGAGCATAGTATCTGCTACCCACAAAAGTGATTTTTGTGCTCCGATCACATAGATTACTCACTATAAATCCATCCTTTTTGTTAATTCATGCCTCATAACCCTTGATGACAACTGCTTTTACAAAGTAAGAATTCTCTACTTGCTTTCAGCAACTACTCGTTTCACTAATTTCCCAGTATTCAGCTGAGGCGGTTGAACTTCTTTCAAAGCCACTTGAATTTCTCTAGCACTAATAAGCCTACTATAAAGAGAATTTGTAAAGCTTTTGACATAATTCAATTAATTTTATAACTTTTTTTTTAAATATGTGGCACTTCTTCATGTAGAAGAAATTATTTTTCATATGCTTAAGAATCATAGTGTTATCTCTGTGGCTCTAATACTTAGATGAAACATAAATTAGAGGCCACACTGATAGTGGGATTCAAGAAACTGAGTCCAAGAGATTAAGCAACTAATATATGAATATTGCCAATGAGAGATAATTAAATATTATTTAACAAGAGAACTATTTTTAAAGTTTTTGGAAACTAAAGCAATTCATATAAATTATTTTTCTTTATCTTCAAATAGGTTTACTGATACATTAATACATTTTTCAAAATCACACAAAACATACAAATATTGTCTCACTAGCTTATCAAGATTCGTTTCCAATTTAATGTTTTCATGAAAATATACAAAAAGTTAGAATTCAAAAGTATTATATATATACAAGTCAATTTTATGGACAAGAAGAAGATTTATTAACAACAAAATAAGAAGACATTCAAAATTTTAATACTCCCGCAAAAAAATTTAGCAAAATTATTCATATGATTTTAGAAAACATAAAAAAATACCAGTTTTGATGTAAATAAGGTTATAAAGATAGATCATTATGTAGTTTGATGCCATATATTAAATACTTGTAATTGTATAGGTATATATTTAACAGACTTATCCACTCACTACTCATTTAATTATTTATTTTTGCAGAAAACATAAGTGCTTCCCAATTGTTTTCCAAGATTTTTATCTTAAGTTTCATAGCATTTCTATACACTATATAGTTCTATAGTTTTACCCTGTGTTTCTGTCTCCTCCACAATATGAAGGTAAAATAAAAATTCAATACTAGTACCACATTTAAAGTTACTAATAACAATATTTCAGTATGAAAACTCTCAAAATGAAAAGTGTATAGACTTTGTATGATAATTTCACTATTATTCTAAAATAAACTTTACTTCCAACACACTAATTCATATTCGTATGGAATTAGAAAGTTAAGGTTCCATAGCAACATGTTCTATTACTGTCAAAACAGAGTTAAAATTCTTGCCTGCATTTTTTTAGTACAGTAATTTTTAAAGGCAGAAAATATATGACAAACTGTCAGAGTAAATAACACCCACAGTGAAAAAATGGAAGACGAAGGGAAGAAATCAAGTCCATTTTAAAAGAGACTTTTAAATCTTACTTCCCAGACCAAGGGTAGATTTGCTCTACATCTTGAAAGCAACTGTCTTTTTCTTTGCTCTGAGAACAACACATGTTCTTCTCCAACAGGAAAGTATAAAAATGAAACAGAAAACCACAGGGTTATGAAATACTCTTACCCTCCGGACTTGCAGGGCTGCTCCAGCTTCTCACTTGTAGACACATGTGTAAACAACAAAGTTTCCTGAATTCTCTTCTCATTTGTGCAGCTCCAGGGTCCTGGCCAGCAGGATTATTCCAGCATTAAGTACGCTCTACGCTAAATCAAAAAGCACTCCCATTGGTTATGAAGCTTTATCAAAGCCAGTACCACAACACCCTCTTTGGATTACAAATGAGTTAACCAAAATAAAACCATTTTACTGTTCACTAAATATTAAGTAATGTGTTATCTAAAGCTTCCCAGACAACCCATTTGAAACAATGTGTTCCAACTGGAAAAGGAAGAAAATACCCACTTTTTCATCTACTCATACACTTAGCATTTTATAACAAGAATTTATAATAGAAAAAACTAAAACAAAGATGGCAAAATAAAAATTATCACAGCACTGCTCTGTAAATATTTACAGGGAAATTATAGTGCAATTCACAGGAACAATAACAAATATTGGATCAATTTGATCTGTAATAGAGCACCAAGACAGATTATATTCAATAAAATATCACAATGTACAAATCATAATACAAAATATTGGATGTCAGTTCTTTGATCTCAGTCCTTTTGGCAGAAATTGTGAGCTTCAGTCTCACTGGGCCCCTGAGCGAGCTCTCTGGCCTCTTGGGTGGGTGAGGGGTTGATGTTTTCTGATAACAATAAGCTGTGGGAAGCGTTCTGATGAAAGGTAGTGGTAGAACACATACAAAAGAGATTTTTCCAAATTGAAACTAATAACACGGCCTAAAAGAAAAGGTCAAAGGCAACACAATCAACAAGTTTCTTGTAAGTGACATTAAATTATATAAGAGCATTTGAAAGTTATGTAGTAAACACCTTCAAATTATTTTATGCTCCTCCACTTTTTACTTTGGGGGATTATTCTCAACTGAATAACATTTTCTCATTGATTTCCACTTAAGATCAACCATTCTTTCTTATTTCTCCATGCAATGGAAAAGGTGAACACTCCTTCATATAAAGCCAACGAACTCTTTTAAGGTTATTTTTCTCCCTTCTATCTTTGAACTCTCTTTCCTCTGGATTTTTCGAATGAGTTGTTAAATATCATAAACTCTTCAGTCAGTTTCACTTATGCCAATGAACTTCATTTGTTATTAGGTCACTTTTCACTTATACTATTTTTCTTTCCATCCTGGTGAAATGATTAAAAAGCTCTTCCCAAGTCAGTAACAATAAGTGTTGCATTTACCCTCTTTATTGTGAAAATACAAACACATGTGGACATGAAAATATATGCTTCTTTTTTAAAAAATTTTGAGACTCCTCTCTATCCTCCATCAAACTGATGTCTATGCAGCCTTTGATGCCACCACTCACAACCCTGCCCACCTGAGGTCATCTCTCACACTGGCACAACACTCTCAACTTTTCATCTCTTGCTGCCATTTCTCATTCTCTTTGTGGTGCCTCATTGTTCTATTCCTCAGTGGACATCACGGGTAGCTTCAGATAAATCTACATATTCTCTCTCTGGTTAGTGTCACACGTGTTCATGCTTTCAATTATTATCTCCCTTCACAAATATCTACATTTGGGGCCAGGGTTTTAGCTCAGGGGTGTCGCCACCTGCTTCATAAGCAAGGTCCTGAGTTTGATCCCTGGTACTGCAACAACAACAACAAAAATTTACATTTGAACCCAATCATCTTCCAAGTCTCCAATACTAATTTGCTAGTGCACTATACACCTGCAGTAGAAAATATCACAGACATGGCATCAGCCATGTTTAAAACTGAAATCTTCATCTCTCCAGGGACCTACTATGTCATAGCAATAAATATTAACCCAATGGTACAGCCTTCAAAGGAAAATCCTAGAAGACATTCTTTATTCCTTGTATCCTGCGTCGAATTCAGAACCAATTCCTTTTGATTGTACTTCAGTAACTTGTCTGATCCTTTTTCCTTCCATTGCCACTCCCCTGGTTCAGTCAACAGTCATAATTTCAAGTGAATCATCTTCTCAAATTATCTCCTTTACTCTAAACTTGTTCCTCATATTTAGGAGGAGATATATTAGTCTATTTCCGGCACACATGTTTCTTGAACACTGAAGTCTTTTAATTTACTCGTCAAGTCTCTTCTTCAAGATACATAGGCTTCCCTTCATTTTCAAACACAACTTTTCAGGTTTAATTTTTCTGTCTTTCTTAGCATATACTTACTCATTCGCATAATACTTGCTCAGTATTTTCCTTTCAGTGCTGGGATATCTCCAAGGGATTATTGCTGGTCCTAATCTTACTCCATACCTTCTCTCACAGTGGTGGCTTCTATTTTTGAGGGTTCTTTTATCATACATATTTCTTTATGTTGAATTGTGTACTCCATGAAATAAGCCAAAAATCATGACATTCATACCTGGGACTATGAACTTAATTTAAAAATAGGGTCTTTGCAAATTAATCAAGTTGAGACCATACTGAATTAGAGTAGGTCTTAATCCAAAGTTTTGTGTCCTTATAGGAAGAGGGGAATTTAGAGACATGGTGAAGGAGGTGGGGAGAATACCATAGTGAGAAGATCAGAGGGATGTGTCCATTAGCTAAGGATTCAAGATAATCCAAAAGCTAGGAAGAGACAAAGGAAGTTCATCCCTTAAAGTCTTCAGAGAGAATCTAGTGCTGCTGTTGGACTGATTTTTGAACATCGAGTCTCCTAGACTGTAAGAAAGAAATATATTTTGTCTTAAGCCACATTTTTGTACAATTTATTACAGCAGCTCTAGCAAAATACACCTATAATTTTCAAATATATATGGCATGCTCATAATAGTTTATCAAGCTTCAGATCTATTTTTCCAACAGTCTAAAAATACATTCACTAGGACTCATTTAAACCTCTCAATAACACCATGTATCTTATCTTTCTCCTCACACCTCTTGTGTACCATGTAATTTGTCTTAAATACAGGACTCTCCCAATCTCTCACTACAGAGGCCTTTATGTTATCTCAGTCTTCTCTTTGCCCTTCAAACTAAATAACTCAATTGTATATTAAAAGCTGAATAAATAATCTATTTCTCTGCCTCTACTTCATATCCTCTTATCTTTTTATAATCCACACCACAATATTTATCTCCCCCAAATATTTTACCAGTAAGTTAATAAATCATTGACCCATAACATCCAACTGCATTGGACGACATTATCTCACTTGCAGCTTTCTCACATGAAAGCTCTTTTTCTCTCTCACATCAACCATACTTTCTTAATTCTCGATGCAATGGAAAAGGTGAACACTCTTTCATATAAAGCCACTTCTCTCGGTGTCAGAAAATGGAGTGGGGGCAATGCTATGCTCTTTTCACTACATCTGGCTCACAAATACTTTGTTCATTGATAGAAGAGGACCTGCTGGAAGAATGTAGGCAGCTATCAGTAGTCCCCATTCTCATTCCAATTGTACATTGATGCCTAGTTTTTAACACACCACTCCTTCTTTACCTTAATGGGTCGTATCACATATCACTCATTGGGAAAATTCATACGTGGACTTTTAATACTTTGTTGGCAAGTTCACAATACCTAAAAGTCTTCAATACATACGAGGGGGTTGTTGATATTTTTTTTAGATTCTAGTTGTATTCTATGTGTTAGATGCTCCCTAGAGCATCTGCTGTTTGCATATCCAGTATCATTTCCCCTCTTCATTCCCTAAAAAAAATTATTTTTGTTTTACAATGTAGGCAATTTAAAAAAAAGCCTAGGGCCAAGGATTTAGCTCAGTGGTTCCGCTGCCTGCCTTGCAAGCGGAGGGATCCAAGTTCAATACCCAGTAGCAAAAGCCAAAATAAAACAAAACAAACAACAACAATGACAAAAACCTATGGAACCAAGCCTCCCAGACAAATATGTTTGGCTAGTTGACACATTTTTGCCAATGAAACATAAGTGAAAGCATAAGCCTTTTCAGGGGGAAAAAAGATAGAATTGCTAGCCTACTTCAATTATTTTTTTCTTTTTCTTTTCGAGGAAGGATAGCAAACTGGAGATGCAGATGCCATTGCTGAATGATGGTGAGGTCACATGAAATACTACTGACCACAAAAAATGAGAAATTAGAGACATTTACAGCTAAATGAGGCACATTGAGTCAATACTCTTAAGTGATATAAACAGGACACATATGTGTAAATACCGAATAGTTTCTCTAGTGTTAGAAAGTGAAAGTGTGAATAAGGAATAAAAGGTATAATAGATAATGTGAAATAGTAAGGAAAGGGGCAAAGGTGAAGGGAAAATGGGAGGGGTAGGAGAAAGGAAAGAAGGGAATGGAATTAATATGAGAAAATGAAAAATAATGGAAAAAAGTCTTTGTAGACAGGGAGGGATGGAGGGGTTCGAGGGAAGGCAGAGGAATGGAATAAAAATAAGAACCAAGATTGATTATGTAAAGCCACAAATTTCCAACAATGGATGTCATTATATTGTATACTTTTAATGTACCAATAAAATTAATTTAAAAAAAAAGAAAAGAAGCAAGGGAAGAATGTGTCATACTGACTTGGGCTTGAGCCTCTTCCACCCACAGTGTCTGTGGCTGATGGTGATGGTCTGGACCATGGTGAGGAGACTTCTGGTACAGATGGAGACGCCTCGGTCCACCCTCTCCGGAAGACACATGGGCCAATAACTGTACAGAAAAGAAGACAAATGATGTATAGAGAAACAGTGAACAAAACTCTGGAATAAAATTGTCCTTCCAGTGTCCTTGAAGTGCAGGAAGGAGATGGTGATTGGCCAGTGATAGACTTCTTTTATTAAAAATAAATATATCTTTTTAAAAGAGACTAGCAAAAGGACTTATTATGGTTTCATTCAGGCTTCTGATGATGGGAAAAGAAGGTTAATTTAAATGCAGTCAAATTACTGTCATTGGGATTCTCATCTGCCTCTTTATTAGATTGGGAACTTCACACTGAGGCAAAGTTTTAATAGTATTTAATGAAAGAGTAGGGAAGTAAACATTAATCAAAATTGATTTTACTCCATATCTTTATCCTTTAACTTGGAAAACCAGAAGAAATCAGAAAATTGAAAGTTC